GAAGGGCGGTTTTGTTACAAGAAAAAAGGGTTGAAGAGGGAGAGGTTGGGAGGGAGAAGGGGTGTCAGAGGACGAGGATTCTTCCGGTTCAGTCTTTCCGGATTTCCTCTTCATGGGTAGTGTGTGCGGCTGCGGTCTGGCTGATTTCTTCGACATTCCGAGCGGTGCTGACTCTTAAGCTCACGCATTTTTTTCTACCCTTAGTGAAGTAGAAAAAGAAGCGGGGATAGTCGGGAGTGAAGGGAGGAGAAGGGTCGAGGGGTAGGATCGGGTGCCAAACGTAGTCGAGGACGTTGTCGAACGCTTTCTTCCTAAGAAATCTAAACCAGGGGTCTGGCCCCCAATTGACGAGTTTTTAAATGTGGAAAGATTTGACTGCTTCCTCTCCAAGAGCAGCCTGAGTAAAGAAGTCCTTGCAGTGGGCGGCGATTGGGAAGGCGAAAAAATGCGAAGACAATGGCCCTGGGAGGTTATCCGCCAAGGTGAGGAGTCCTTTCTTGACCCATGAAAAGGCCGATCGATCATTCATGCAAGCCACACACATCCCACGGTAGTAGAAATTAGCCACGATATCGCTTGCACATGCCGACTGAAACTCTGCCAGATTCAGACGGACCCTGAGAACCTTTCTTGATGAGAGTGAGAAGAGCAGCCTTGAGTCGACGAAGGTGAGCTTGAAGAGAGTCGTAGAGAAAAATGAGTAAGAGAGGAGCTCCACGACGCGTTTGATGATGCAAAAAAACTTGTCGCCGTGCCGGAATCGAAACTTGGCGGCGTCGATGCAGAAACACTCGATGTCCTCGGCGTTGAGTAGCGCACCAAACTTGGTTATGACCTTGGTTTCCTGAAACTTGATGAAAGAAGGTGGGGTGAGGAGAGGTAGGGAGAAGAGGTGAAGACGTAGCAACGAGGCTGTAAGAGGATTTATAACGAAGATTTTCTCCAATGTGGGATCGGTAACTATCGGAGGTGAGGCCTGAGGGGAGGGAAAGTCAATGAGGGAGGAGAAGAATTGAAGAAGAAAATGCTATGGAACAGGCGAGGAAGTTTGCAGCATGAGATGAGCCGGAAAGTGGTGCTTGAGAAAGGGGTCGAAGAGCGGAGGTTGTTCGGGCGGAGGGGAATGATAGGAGAAGGAGGGGGATACCGATCTGGAGGAAGGAGGGGAAGAGCGGGATGGGAGAGGAGAGGAGGAAAAGGATGAGCGATACGGCGGGGACAGGGCCAGAGTACAAAGCGGGGAGTTACCGGATGCGCCTCCGCCGTTCATGGTGGGAGGTCCAGGGAAGGCTTACCGGTATTATAGCAGTTGCGAAGGCCGGTTGCAAGGAGGGTGGTCCTGACACAAACTTGGTTTAGCCGGGATTACCAGGTACGAATATGCGGCTGAAAAAACCTGACCAAGTGAGAACGGAAACGGATGCAACGGAGTGCGAGTATTCAGCCAGGAATTGGTGAAAAGTGCGGATTCGAAAGTGAAAAACGGGCTTGGTGGGGAGCGCAGGTAGCGGCTTCGCCAAAATAGGCGATGTGAACGACCTGTCCTCCAAGCGTCTGGCTGACTGGCTTGATGTGACGTGGAGGTTTGCATACACAATGGGCGCAGTGGCGAGCGGAAGAAATCCAGAAAACACGCAGCGCGAGTTAACTCAGCCTGCTGCGACCGGTCCTGCGCCAGTTACTTATACTCTCGCAGCATCTGGAGGCAGTGGAGACTACTTACTGCCGGGTGAGTCCCACTGGTCCTCCTGTAAGAGTCGTAGACCCTGAGTGTACAGATGCTCCCACCGTTGATCTTAGAAACTGGAAAAACTGGTAAGATTAAAGATAATCCCAGCGGATAAACGAGAAATGGAAAAACAGTCTCGGGGTTGTTGCGAATCGTAGAACCGTGGAGGGCTCGTCCATTACTTTCCTTTTTGTTTTTCTTTTCTCCAAAGCTCCGTTCTTATTCGTGGGAAGCTGGACGATTCCTCCCATGACTTTGGGCCTCGTTAGACACTCCTAACGAGTTCCTTGCACCACAAGGAATTTTCCCTTGTGGCTAGTAAGGGAATTTGGGCTCTTCGTTCCACCTGTCCTCGGGGACGTCGCCCAAGGACATTTCCTAAGACTGATGTTAGGAAAAAGAAAAGAAAAGAAAAGAAAAAACAGTTGTGCTTCAAGCCTTCATCCAATAGGGTGCCGCCACGATCCAGATTCTCAGTTGTAACGTCTATCTATCCGTGTGCCCTCTCCTCTCTGTGAAACGCGGATTCCTTGTGCCCAAGGGACCTCGTGAGGTCCCTTGGGCACAAGGAAGAAATGGTTGGGGCCACAAGGAATTTTCCTTGTGGCGTTTTCGCATTTCTTTTTCAATTTCGTCCCCAAGGACAGGTGGAACGAGCACGTCCTTGTGGATTTCACGTCCCCAAGGAGTGTCTAATGAGACCCTTTCCTTCCTTTGGGCCCTCCTTTGGCCTCCCTTCGTCTATTCTTCCTGTCTGTAGTCTCTCTCTCTCTCTCTCTCTCTCTGTGTGTGTCTTTGT